TTTTTTTTTTTTTTTTTTTTTTTTTTTTTTTTTTTTTTTTTTTTTTTTTTTTTTTTTTTGCCAAATTCTTCTGCTTTGTTAAGTAGAAGAGGTAAAAGAGGTGAAAGCAGGAATCTTTGTCTTGTTCTTGAACTTTGAGAAAAATCTTTTAGTCTTTCATTATTGAGTGTGATGTTAGTTGTGGGCTTTTTATATATGGCTTTTAGTATGTTGGGGTAGTTTCCTTTCAATCCTAGTTTTTTGCATGCTTTTTCATTATGAAAGGGTGTTGAATTTTGTTAAATGTTGTTTTTCTGTATGAGCTGTGATGATCATGTAATGTTTTTTTTTTATTCTGTTAATGTGATATATTATACTGATTGATTGTTGTGTGTTGAACCGTCCTTGCATTCCATGATTAATTTCTACTTGGTTATGGTGTATAATCCTTTTAACATGCTGTTGAGTTCTGTTTTCCAGTATTGTATTTTGTTGAAATTTTTTGCATGAATATTCATCAGAGATAATGATCTGTAGTTTTCATGTATCTTTGAATGGCTTTGGTTTGCAGGTGATACTGGCCTTATAAAATGAGTTTGGAAGTTTTTTCTTCTCTTCAATTTTTTGGAAGAGTTTGAGGAAGATTTGTTTAAATCTTTCAGTATTTGGTGGGACTTACCAGTGAAGCCATCCAGTCCTGGGCTACTATGCACCAGGTACTGTTCCAGGCTCTGTGGGTACAACAGTGAGCAGGCAGATGAAGTTTATACCCTCACCGAGCTTGTATTCTAGAAGAGAGAGACAGACAGTGAACAAATAAATGAGCAGAATGCAAAGAGTGGTAATTATTCCAAAGGAACTCTGATAGGAGACGAGATGGGGGTGCTGCCCCAGATAGTGTGGTCAGGGAAGGGAATGAAATGTTGTGGCATACCTGAGAGAAGCAGCAGCCCACCACACAAAGAGCCTGAACAAATAATCAAGTAAAACAGGAAGCATGTCGCTATCACTGGCCTCAGACCTGCAGAAGACAAGGTGAGGAGGGTGTGGGAGGAAAGCAGTTTCCAGAACATCCCAAACAGCCTGCAGAGGCTCATGGGAGCAACACAGCCCTCTTGGGGTGTGTGCACCAGGTCGCACTGGGTCTCTCCCTCTCCAGCTGCCTCTGCCTTCCAGGTGAAGCAGATCATGGAGGAAGCTGTCACACGCAAGTTTGTCCACGAAGACAGCAGCCACATCATCTCCTTTTGTGGTGAGTCTATGGCCCACCCATGGCCTGGAAAGTAGCTTCTTTCTCTGTGGCTGCCTCAGGGAAGTGGCGTCTTTGAGCAAGGGTTCTCTCATCATGTTTTGCTTATGACTCCAAAGTTATTTTGAGATTCCAAAGGGACTCCACTGGAGAATTTGGAAATACGGAAAAGCCTAGAGAAGCAATTAAAAATGACTCCTGCACCCCATGAAGAGGTCATCATGGTTAACACTGGAGGGATTGCCTTCGCCTTCCCATGGGCACAGTTCACACTGACCCACCCCCCAAGTGGCAAGTGGTCTTGCATCTGAGGAATTCCATGTCCTTTCCTTGCTCTGCCTGTGGCTATGGCCAGGTAAAGGAGATGATGGATGGGAACTTAAAAAAAAATAAAACAGGGAATTAAGAGCCATTGATACATCCTGAGGGATCACATCCAGCTGGCTCAGCAGAGGAAGCAGGCCCGGGCTCAGAGCGTGACTCAGACGTCTCTTCTTGAACCAGCCAGAAATAACCACACTGCCAGGTTCTAACTGTACTTGGACAATAGCTAGAGACATGTTTTGCATGTCCCTGAAGTCAGAAGTCAGCTCATTATTAGTGTGTATGTATAAGTGGGATTATTTCTTTCTTTCTCCCTGAGAACTTTTTAATTTAATAATTAGAGTATCTCATAATGAATGACATATTCCCCTCTTGCAATCTTGGTCCTATGGAGAGGCCTGACCAAGGAGACCTGGCCAGCCCATTGGCTTCTGTTCAGATGGCTGGGGGAGCCACCTCATGGGGCCCACACCATGCTGAGCACACTTTGTGACCTGGGAACCCACGGACCTCTCAGTTCACCCACTTTTCACCCAGTCAGGCCTGGGTTCAAATCCCACCTCTGCCACTCCTTGTTGGATAACCTTCAGCAGGATGGGCAAGATCTTTTTTTTTAAAAAGTGAGATGTTTATTTAAACATATATATGTATACATACACACACATATACACACGTATATATGTATGTATATATACATATATGCATGTATAGATATGTACGAGGGTACTTCAAAAAGTTCATGGAAAAAATGGAATTAAAAGATAATACATGCTGGCTGGTTAGCTCAGTTGGTTAGAGCATGGTCCTAATAACACCAAAGTCCAAGGTTCAATCCCTATGGCCAGCCACCAAATTAAATAAATAAATAAATAATATGAATATTTCCATGAACTTTATTAAGACCCTTCATATATGGGAACATTTATATTCCTAGCTTTTTATTTCCTCCTGGATGTTTTTATTTGCAAATTTAATAATATGTATGTCCATGTTAGGACTTGCTAACATACCTACCAATTATAGACTTAGAGGAATAGAAAGTGATAATAAATTATAACAATTCTGTAACTCTGATCAAAGTTTTTGGGTGGGAGAAATTTGATGGCACTAAATGGGGCCTAAAGAATCTCCTTGAGGTTTCTTTTATCCACTGTTCCTTATGAGCCACTGTCAGAAAGAACTGAATAATGTCTACAAAGCCTGTATAGCTAATTAACTTATTTCAGTATAAACAAATGAAAAGTACTTTGCATGTAAGTTAAAATTAAGACGTTGAAGAGATCCTCACCCAGAATATTTTAAATCCATAGGTAGATTAGGCAATATTTAGGTATTCATTCAAAATCGAGTAAGTGCCAGCTCAAAAACACAAAGACAAGCAATGAAACCAAAACTTCCCAGTATCACTCCTTGCACACAACGTAAGCTTGGCCAGGCGAGGCATGCTGGTTCCCTCTTCTAGCACTCTTATTTCATGGGTTTGTCACCAGGATTAAGTAAGGTAAATCTTAAGAGTTATTGATACCAAGATAAACAGTAGCTCATTTTTTCAGTAAACATTGATTATGCACCTATTGCATACCAGTGTGAGCTTCTGTGTGCTTTGTAAGACAGAAGGTAAGAAGATAGGATACCAAAAGTACCAGGAGTAAGACAGAGTCCATCACCCAGAAGAGAACGCTGAGGCCCAGAGAGGGAAAGTGATATCTGGAGGTCACACAGTGAGTCAGTGGTAGAGCCCAGGCTACCACCCAGGTCTCCTGGTCTGAGGAGAGCCAGGCAGGGCCTCCTGGGGAAACACAGAAATGGGAAGGTTAGTACTAAATCCTCCCTTCTAAGGCCCTTCATGGAAGCCAAGTGTTATGACACATCTTGGACTCAGACCTGGAATTGAATCCTGGCTTTGTCTCTTTTTGCTGGGTGGCCCTGGGCAATACAGTTCACGTCTCTGAGCCTCAGTGTCCATACCTGAAATATGGAGATAGTTTTCCTATCTTCCCTGGCCATGGCAAAGATTGAACAAGATTTATAAATGTTAGCTGTTACTGTAATTGCTATGTTAATGATGATGATGATTATGTGATTCATTAACCCAGATAAAGCTCAACAGTCATGTGGTTCAGTCTCCCCTCCCTCTTTGACAAGAATAACAGCTAATATTCATAAAACACATGCTGTGTGTCGGGCTCTGCTGTGCTAAGTGCTTTACATGCATTTTTTCCACCTCGTTCTAACAGCAACCTTAGGAGGTTGACATTAATACTATCCTCATTTTACAGATGAAGAAGCTGAGGCACAGAGAGGGGAGGTAATTGCCCACAGTCACACAGCTGATTAGTGTCTGGGAAAGGATGTGAACAGAGATGGTCTGACGTTGAGTCATGACTGTGGGTTAACCACACAGCTCTCTTGCCCCCTTTTGAGAGTGTGGAAGATGGAGAGGCATACGTGTTTTTCCCCATGATGCTGTCCTGACTTTTATGATTCTGAGGGTCCCCACTCTCCAAGATGCTTCTGTCTGACTGAAGCTCTGAGCCACACTGGTTACTGGGAAATGTGACCAGGGCAGGACCTGCTGACCGCCATGTCTCTGCAGCGGCTGTGGAGGCCTGCGTCCTGCATGGGCTTCGGCGGCGGGCGGCTGGCTTCCTGCGTAGCAACAAGATCGCAGCTCTCTTCATGAAGGTGGGCAAGAGCTTCCCTCTGGCTGAGGATCTGAGCCGCAAGGTCCAGGACCTGGAGCAGCTGATCGAGAGCGCGTGAGTACAAACTGGGGTATGGGCTGGGACAGTCCCCCAGAGGACAGTCCACACTCTGCCATGGGCTTTGCAAAAGCCTGCATCTCCTGGCACTCTCTCCACCTTTGTCTCCTCCTCAAACCCACCAGACTCTTTCTCACCTCAGGGCCTTTGCGCATGCCAAGCCCTCAACAAGGCTCACCCCCCTGATCTCCAGAGCTGGTTCCTCGTCATCATTCAGACCTTCCCCTAACTCAGTAAATTACAAACCTCACCCCATCTCCTCTTTTATATCACCCTGTTTGTTTTCTTCCCAATTGTTACCATCATCTGTAATTAGCTATTCATTCATTTGTTCATCTCCTGTTTACTTGATTGTTGTCTGTCTCTGCCACTTGACTCTGAACTCCATTAGAACAGGCATTTACCCCTGTGTTATTCCCACTATGTCCCCAGCATCTGGTAAATGCCTAAAAAATAATTATTGAGTGAGCAAATGCTTACTGGAGGCCCAGCTCTGTTATAAATACAAGATGACCCATGCTTGATAGAACCAATATGGTCTCTGACTGCATGGAGCAGATGCTAGGGCCTCTGGTCAAAACTCACCCTCAGGCAACCATTGACGGGGAGAGATAGCTCCCTTCACTCATCCTGGAGGCTGGTTGTTGTGTTGCAGGGAGGCTCATGGACTGAGCGTGTGTACATGAGCGCCTCTTGCCAGAGCCTGGAGTCCCAACTGCACAGCCAAACCCCCACCTGGAGTCTGGTCAGGGATGGTAAATAGGTTTCAACTCCAGTTGATGCTAGTGGCTGTGCCCAGAGGTCGTGAAGAGTTGTGCCCAGAGTTGTGAAGCTGTGATTGGGCATCATGAGAAAAAGTGCATGGATCGATTGGCCATGTCTGTCCCTGGCAAGAGAGAGGAAGAGACAAGCATGTCCTAAGTTTGCCATCTCTGCCGTGGGTGATCACTCACTTCATTGGATGAGAAATGGTCCCTTCCTTGGCCTTCAGGCCTTGCCTGCCCAGGGCTGCTGGCCAGAACTGTCTGGTGGGCAGAGCTCAGGATTTGGCTCTGCCAGCTTCCATTTGGAATGATTTCTCAGCCATCTGGTCTTTGGGGACCTTCCAATTCATCTGCTAAATTCCCAGGTGTTTGCAGATAACTTCTTAAAGGGATGGATTTCCATGGGCCTTCCACAATATTGGGAGTGACTTCTGAATGGAGGAATTAGAGACGCCCATGCCAGGTGGTAAGGGAAAACCGTTCATTCATGTATTCAATCACTTATTCATGAACATATTTACTGAGACTCTCCTATATGCCAGGCACTGTGCTAGGCCCTAGAGATACAGACATGAAGAGGGCCCATGCTTGCTACATGGCAGACTCTCAGTAAGTATTTTATTAAAAAAAAAAAAAAAGAAAGAAAGAAATTGAATTGCTTTCTTCATACCCTCAAGGTCACAGTGTGGAGAGGAAGACAGAAAAATGAGATGTTAAGCTCCAGAGATTGAGGCTACATGCCAGCTTTGGCTGGTCCTAGAGGGCTTCCTGTAGGAGGGGATGCCTTCACTGAGACATAAAGAGTGAGAAGGGATTAGTCTGGGAATGGGGTAGTGAGAAAACCCAGGAAGAAGCAGCAGCCCGTGGAAAGACTTCAGATGGGAGCCTGGCAGCCTCCGGAATCTGCAGATTTCTCTGGCTGGCTGGATCATGGAGTGAGAAGGGGTAGTGGTGAGATTACTGGAGAAGTGAATGGGGACAAGGTCATGGAGCCCCCTGCCTATCATGTAAAAGAGCTTGCTTCCCAAGGGTAGTGGGGGCCACTAAAGAATCTATAATCCAAGACTCTTCTCGGCAAGCACTCCTTCCAAGAGAGAGGAGTGGGGAGAGAGATCAGTGTAAGAATCTGGCTTGCCCATCAACAGTGAAGGAACGTGTCTGTTTAACCACATTTTCACACTCACTGGGTATTATTATTCTTTCAACTCTTGACCCATTTGCTAAGAGCAATATGGGTTCTCAATGTTTAGTTGCCATTCTTTCATTTCCTGGAGAGATTGAACATTTTCCTATTTGCATATTGGTCTTGTGGATTTCCTCTTCTGTGAGTATCTATTCTCCTCCTTTACTGTTCTTGAAGGCGAAACCAGATCCAGGGCCTCCAGGAGAATGTGCGGAAGCTGCCGAAGCTTCCCAATTTGTCCCCACTTGCCATCAAGCACCTGTGGATCCGCACAGCCTTGTTTGAGAAGGTCCTGGACAAAATTGTGCATTACCTTGTGGAAAACAGCAGGTGAGAGGGAAAGACCAGACCCTGGGTGAGCTCTGCCTCCACCTGCTGACCTTGGTGGGAATTGCACCATCTTGCACAAAGCGGCTTTCTTTTTCCCCTTGAAATGCACTTAAATTTGAAAGTGATTAAATAAATGCCTCCTGGATGTTTGATCCTGGTTTAGGTTAACTCAGAACCTTGGCAAATATGGAACCAACCGAAATGTCCATCGACAGATGATTGGATAAAGGACATGTGTGTGTGTGTGTGTGTGTGTGTGTGTGTGTGTGTGTGTGTGTATATATATGCAATGGAATACTACTCAGCCATAAAAAAGAATGAAATTCTACCATTTGCAGTGACATGGATAAACTTAGAGAAAATTATGTTAAGTGAAATGAACCAAGCACAGAAAGAGAAATACCACATGTTCTCACTGATATGTGGTAGCTAAAAAAAAAAGAGAGAGAATAAAACAAAACAAGCAGACAAATAAAAACAAACAAACAATAATAATAAGTTGAACTGTTAAAAGGAGAGAGAACTGTAGTTACTAGAGGTGGGAAAGGGGGCGGAGGGATAGTGGGAGGCTGATGAATGGACACAAAAGCACAGCAAGATAGGAAAAATAAGATCTATTGGTGTACAGTCAACCCGGAAATCTACAATCAATAATGTTTTACTGCATGTAACCTAAAGACTAGAAGAAAAGAGATCAAATGTGCACACTGCAAAGAAATGATTAATTTTTGCAATGATGAATAGACTATTTACCCTGATTAGATCAACACACATTGTATACATGTGTTGAAATGTAACTATGTGCCCCATGAATATGTACAATGTTTCAATAAAACATTTTTTAAATAAGTTAAAAAAAAAAAAAAACCTTTGCAAGATTTAGGTGTTAAATAGCAGTGCAGGGTCCTCAGATTTAGGATGCAGTATAGAGATCTTGGGTTTCTTCCTTCTCCTGTCCATCAATAACTGTATGGCCCTAGGAGAATCACTTAGCATCTCTGTGGCTCTGTTGTCTCTTTTGGTACACGGGGCAGGGATTGCTGCCACTATGGAGAAGAAGTGAAAATGGAATTTGGCAAGCACACAGCATTTTGAAAACGCATAGTGGCACTATTTACATTTTCTCCCCTAGCTTAGATTAATCTGATATAAAGGATAGTATAAGTCATCTTGGGCAAGCATTCATCGATGCATTCATTTGTCCAATACATATTTCACAAGTACCTATTGCGTGCCAGACACTAACCAAGGTGTTGGGGATACAGTGGTGATACCTGTCATGTTAAAGAGCTTGGATATTATCCTAAGAGCAGTGGGGAGCCACAGAAGAATCTGTAATCAGAGACTCCTATGACCAGTGTGCCTTTTCACCCAGATAGAGAGAGAGAAATCTGGGAATATCCCTATCATTCAATATGTGAAGGTGCCTGTTTAACAACATGTTCATACACAGTGGATACTATTATTATCTTTTTGTGTGTGTGTGTGTGACCGGTAAGGGGATCGCAACCCTTGGCTTGGTGTCACCCGCACCGCGCTCAGCCAGTGAGCACACCGGCCATTCCCATATAGGATCCGAACCTGCGGCCGGAGCGCTGCTGCGCTCCCAGCGCCGCACTCTCCCGAGTGAGCCAAGGGGTCGGCCCCTATTATTATCTTTTAACACTTTGCCCTGTTGCTAGGAAAAGATGCATGAAGTACAGAGTAAAGTCCCTCTCCTCATGAAGCTCACATTCTAGCAAGGAAAACAGACAAATAGTAATTGTGGTAATATGAGATGAATGTTACAAGGTGGGTGTGGTGGTGTTTAATCTCTTCTGGGTGGGCAAGGAAAGTGTCCTGGAAGGTGAAACAGTTAAGCTTCCATTTGAAGGGCATGTAGATATTAGCCAGGTGAAGGAAACAGGGAGAAGAGTATTTCTGGCAGAGGGAACAGCAGGTTCAAAGGCCTAGAGTCAAGAGAGAAACGCAAAGAAATTCACACTCTGAGTCTCCAGTTAACCTCTTTGCCTTCTAGTAAATTGTAACATATCTCTGCCTCTTGACCTATGAATGGTCCCCTGGACTTCTTTAGTTATTGCCTTTGGCATGTGACCTTGTGTTTTACTGCTGAATAAGTCAGTCAAAAGGAATTAGTAATTTATGTGAGCAGCAACGTCAACCTGCTACTTTTTCATCAAACTTTTAATTTTGAATTTTAGATTCACATAGAAGTTACAAAATTAGTACAGAGAGTGCTAATTGCCTAACCCCAATGATAACATTTTATGTGATCATAGCATAATTATCAAAACCAGGAAGTGACTTTGGTAAAGTACTATTTTTTTGGGGGGGGGCAGATTGGGTTTTTTTCTTTTTATTTTTTTTTCCTTTTTCATAATTTTTATTTTATTTTATTTTTATTTATTTTTAAAATTTTTATTGAATCAAAAATACATATTTTGGGGGTTCAACATTGAGTATGTTGATCAAATCGATATTTCTAGCATATATATTATTACAAATTGTACTTATTCTTTATGCACCTTGTCCAATCTCTCCCCATCCCCCTCTTCTTCTGCCCTCTCCCCTCTAATTGCCCTAGATTTCTTCTCTCCTTCTGAAAGAATAATGGTTACTCTGTTGATTTGTTGCCTAGATGATCTGTCCAATGCTGAGAGATGTGATCAGGTCCCCCAATATTATCATAGAGCAGATGCTTCTAATGTCACTCTGGAATGGACTTTGTGGAGAGAGACATCCTCTTCTTTTCTTTGGTCTCTGCTGGTGACTCTCATTGTGTCACTGCACTCCAGTGGCTGGTGGACCATCTGCGTGGTGGTTGTGGTGTGGGGGTGCACTGACAGTGTGAGTGGTTGTGGGTGGAGGTCTTGTCCCCGGCTCCATACCTCATGTTCCCTGGTGGGCCCCAAGGTACTGGTGGTGTGCCTGGGCCAGAACTAATTTTTTGTCCCTTGATTACTTCTAACATGGGAGAACTTCCTGTGGGAACCAGTACTTGAGCTGTGTGGTTGAGCTAAATTGCTACTTTGCTGCTGTTTCCCTAGGGAAGGCTTTTCGTGAAGCTCGGGGTTTAATGGTTGACCTTATAGGTAATTCCAGCTCTCCAGGGACCCAATGAACCTGGGTGGTGTAGAAACTCTGATCTGGGCCTGAGTTTTTTCATCAAACTGCACCCCATACAATTCTACATTCCTGACTGGTCTCCTCTGAGTGGTCCTGCACTGATGGGGGTGGGGAGCGGATCAGCTGTCCTTGCTGTGTCCCAGTGTTCTCCTGGTGGGTCCGTCTGCCCCACCACCCATGCTATAAACACTTCCCATGGGACAGGCCCTGTGCTGGTCCCTTGCGATGACTCACCGGCCTCTGAATGGCTCCCCTTTTCAGCTGTTCTGGCTCCTCGCTCCTGCATGGGTCCACGGAAACCCTATTAGTGGTCTTGCTGTCCTGGGGGCCACCAAGGCCCTCTTCTCCCCTGCCACCTCCAGCTAACTGCATCTGAAGGGCACAGCTGCGGCTCCTGCCGGCTCCTGCTCCGTGCACTCAACAGCTCGAGCCTTAAAGCAGCCGCAGCCTGAAATGCTCAGAGCAGCTTTTTCTTTCTCTCATTGTGGTTTCTCCCACCTTCATGAACTCCGTAGGTCTCTCCTCCTCTTCCCCTGAGCTTCAGCAGCCCCAGCTTGGCTGATGTTACATTTTCATAGTTGTAAATTGGTTGATTTGTGAGAGAGTGACGCTGGGGACCGTCTATTCTGCTATCTTGACTGGAACCTCTTGGTAAAGTACTATTAACTAAACTACAGACATTGGTTTTCACCACTTCTTACATGCACTCATTTTTTTTTTTGTATATAGTTCTATGAAATTTTACACATGTATGGTTTCATGTAACCAATACCACAATCAAGGTACAGAATTGTTGTAAAGAAACTTAACACCCCAAAGAAACTCCCTTCAGCTACCTTGTACAGTTACATCTTGGTCCCAGCCCGACCTGCTGTTTTTTGAAGCAGTATTTCCAAGGTTTATGTTCACATAACTGTGCTGAATTTTGGAATGGAAACTGAATAGTGGTGAAGCAGAACATGTCTCTATGTACTATCTTCATATTTGACACCAAAATATATAAACTTGATATTGAGCAAGTCCGGGGCATGTCAGTTCTGCCTCATCCAATATTTTGGTTGATAGATTTCTTTTGGATAAGATTACAGTGATGTTGCCACCATTTAGTGAGAATTTCCTGATGTCAGGCTCAGTGCTGTTGCTATACAGGCAGGTTGTTGTTTGATCCTTCCAACTACCCAGGCAGGCAAATTTTGTCATCCTTCCCATTTTACAGCTGAGGACGCTGATGATCAGAGAGGGAATCTCTTGCCCAGGGACACACAGCAAGGCAGGGAGTGGCTGAGCTGGGCTCCCACCCCATCTGTCTGACTTCAGACCCTGAGTCCTTCACCCCCAGTTGTATGATGGTGAGAGCAAAGCCAGCTGGATGTAGCCCAAGCCTGCATCTGCCCGCTGTGTGGCCTCCAGCAGGTCACTTACCCTCTCTGGGCCTGAGATCCTTGTGAGGTCAGAATGAGGTCCTTTCCAAGCTTAAAATTCTGTTAGTTTCTAGACTATGTGAGTTTTCAAGAAATTAGGAACCACTACACAACAACTCAAACAAATCCAGAAACATTCAGCACAAACATTGTATTCAGGGCATCACATATTATTTTGAAGAGCCAGTTCCAGGGAGCATTTTTCAGCATCTCAGGCAAGTGTTATCAGGGCAGGAAAGCCTGTTCAGTACATTCCACAGCTGAACAGCATTTTATTGCCTCAGTAATAGAAGGGCAGACTTCATCTGAGTCTCTAAGCAACATCCTGTCTCAAATGGAAGATTCAGTAAAAGCAGACAGAATCAGCCAGTCCCCAGCTGTCTCCTAATTATTATTCCTGTTACTCTCATAAAGGCTGTATCATGACCATGTAGTAAGGAAGTACACGCCAAGCATTATGCTAAGTGCCTCTCATCTGCTGTCTCTCTCAGAAGTCCTTCCAACAGCCCTATGAGGTGTATTATTATTATCCCCAATTTACAGATGAGGTTCTGAGTGGTAGCGGAGTGACAGGCTGGGATTGAACCCAGCCCATCGATGTGTGCCCTCTGCTGGTGTCTACCCAAACCTGCATGTTCTTTCCTCTCTTACTAGTAAATACTATGAGAAAGAAGCTCTCTTGATGGACCCTGTGGATGGCCCTATCCTTGCGTCTTTGCTGGGTAAGTGGTCCAGTGCTCTGAGCTTCATCTAGACCTCTGGTCTTGGGTCTCAGGGGCACCTCCGAAGGGCCTCTCTCATCTCCATCCACCCTCGCCCATGAAAACTTACCTGCTCAGTGTCCTGCTCCCAGGGCCTTGTTCTGATCTCTCCTTTGCAGGACTGTGGGTCATCCTGGCTGGCTGGAGAGAATGGGTAGTGAAATGGGTGGCCCATGTGGGGGTAGACAGGAAGGTGGACTTTCCAGGGCTGTGGATTCCCAGCCCCCATATGCTCCACAGTGGGGCCCTGTGCCCTAGAGTACACAAAGATGAAGACCGCAGATCACTTCTGGACTGACCCCTCAGCTGACGAGCTGGTCCAGAGACACCGCATCCACAGCTCACACCTGCGGCAGGACTCGCCCACCAAACGTCCAGCCCTCTGTGTGAGTGGGCTGGGCAGCGGGGCTGTGGGAGGGCCTTGGCATGGGGGCGGGGAACACAGTAGAAGCTCTGCAGGTAATCCCTCTATCTCCCCTCACACTACCAGATCCAGAAGAGGCATTCGAGTGGCAGCATGGATGACCGGCCATCCCTCTCTGCCCGTGACTATGTGGAGTCCCTGCACCAGAACTCCCGTGCCACCCTGCTGTATGGCAAGAACAACGTTTTGGTTCAGCCGGTGAGAGTTCATCTCAGGTCCCCATCTTGCACTGAGGATCTGGTTCCAGATTAAAGAGGAGGAGTTCTTCTGGCTCCAGGTTGCTCATGCATTCATACATGCATCCACCCACCATCCATCCATTCATTCATCCATCTGCCAATATCTTCTTCCATCTACCCATTCATATGCCAATATTCCCATCTACCCATTCATTCATTCATCTGCCAGTATCTCCAGCCACCCAACCAGTCAGCTCTCTCTAGGCCCTCATCCATCCATCCTTCTATCCATGCATCCACCCACCATTCATTTATTTCTCTGTCTTTATTTATAGCCACCCATTCATCCATCCATCTCCCCATCTTTATATCTACCTATCCATGTGTCCATTGATTTTCCAGTCATCTGTCCATCCACCCATCCACCCAGCCTTCTATTCATCCTTTCACTCTTGTTCCCACTCATTCAGCAAAACTTTACACTCACTTGCTCTGTGCTAGATGGATGTGTCATCAAGATAATCATCTTCATGACTAATATTTATTGAGTGCTTCCTATGCATCAGGTACTGTGTAAAGTGCTTTTAACTGTATCTACTCATTTAAACCTCACAACAACCCTGTAAGGTCGGTATTATTATTATTGGGATGATAATACTGAGATCCATATAGGTGAACTGGGGAGCAGAGTTATGATCTGAATTTAAGTCAGCTGGTGCCAGAGACTGTGCCATTTGTCAGTTACCTTCCATGCCTCAGCATAGGACCAGGCTCCAGGGTGGTGAGTGAGGCACATGCAGCCCCTACCCTCACATAGTGTCTTTTTTGGCTGTCCCCTCCCTGGGGTCATTTGGTCCCAGAGTCAGCATGGTGCTTGGGCTCAGCTGGGAGGAAGCAGAGAGAGAACCAGCAGCCACTCCAGCCCTGCAGCCACAGCTTCAGTCACGGGGTGACACTGAGCAAGTCATTTCTCCCTCTGAGCCCAGCGTCTGCACCACAATGGGTACAAGGCCCTATTTCACTAAATCTAATAAGCCATGTATTTAAGATGCACCATTTTAAACAATCATCAAAAATTTGTAAATGCTATTTAGATTATTTAGATTATGTACAGTGTTTTTTTACTACTTGGAAATTTTAACTTCCACTTTTTGAAAGAGGTCGTTGAAACTTGTTTGAACATAGTTTTTTTTGTTTGTTTGTTTTACATCATACTTCAGTCCTATAAGTACACACAAGTGAAAATATAATTGAAATACATTAGTTAAGATATTTCTAAAGCTTCTTCACAGTTGAGTTCAATCTTCCATATCACTTTTCAACTTAATCACTGATGCCTTTATTTTTCCACATTTCTTTTTCTGTTCAGTCAAGAGATGGGATCAATAAACTATAGCCCAAGGACCAAATGCGGCCATCCACCTGTTTTTGTAAATAAAGTTTTGTTGTTACTGGAACACAGACACAACCATTAGTTTCTGTATTGTCTATAACTGCTTTTAGGCCACAATGGGAGAACTGAGTGGATGCAACTGAGCCTGAATGGCTCACAAAGCCCAAAAATATTCCCCATCTGGCCCTTTACACAAAAAAGTTTGGTGGCCCCTGATCCAAAACTGTAGGAAATGCAGCATTTCTTGCAAGAGTGCCCACTCTCATCTCTGAGATGGCTGTTAAGTCCCGTAAAGCACTTGGTTGCTGCTTTGCAAGAAAATCTGGAATGGTATGCCTCCCTGCAGGGATGGATAATGTGGCTGCTTCACCAGTATCACATCAGCACTCCACTGCTCTGTTCCCAGCCTTTCTGTGTTCACAATAACTTTTCAGTTTAAGGCTGAATCACAGTATGATCTTTCTGAAGACATTTAAGATAGCACCTATACTGCACATGTGAAGTAACGACCAGGCAAAACTTAATGAAAGAGACAACAGTATGAACAGCTGTGACCGAGTTTGCCCACGCTCGGCCAATGCCAAGTACATCACAGTTGTGAGATGCCACTGATGATGACACATCCCCACTTCAGGTTCATTAAAATGGGAAAACACAAAATATGCATTTTAGGATTGATGACATACTGCGATGAGGTTCCCCATGGGATAATAAGCATGTGGGGTTCAACGGAGGCCGTGTGTGTGGAGACTGAGTCATGCTCGGTCCGCACTTGGTGCTCAGAAGACCTTAACTGTTTGTCTCTGCTGTTCAGGTGAATTTGGTGGAGGGGCTTCCTCCTCTGTGTAAAAGGGATGGTGACATCACCCTCTCTCCACCCACTTGGGATAAAACCAAAAGGGTGAGAAGCCTGTAGGCAAATTCTGGAAAGCAAAGGGTCTGGTTTCTGGGTTGGGGGTAAGGGGGGTATTTGGGGAGGAGGTGTCTGTGGGATGGGATATGGAGCTTGGCTGCCACCTCTTTCTCCTTTAAGACTGGCTGAGATAAATGCCTTCTTTTATAAAAAGGGTGACATTAAGAGAGACCATGACCCCTTCCTGGTTCTAAAGGAACTTTGGGGCAGAGCCCCTCAACCTTGAGGGAGGCATGAGTGCGGAGGTGGGGAGTGTGCATCTTTCACAGCTGGAATCTGCAAGACCTATCCTGGAAAGTTGACTGCAAACGGCTTTGCTTAGCATGGCCACCTGGAAGGAGGTTTAGAGCCTTCCAAATGGCCATGGCCTTGAAGGGACTAACACAACCTCTTGATGCTGGTAATATGTGCTTGAGTCAAATGGGCCAGGGCCTCTGTTCACTGTGACTCCAGCACCATGGCCAGACCTGAGTTCTCCTCTCTCTGCAGAGGGATGACATGGAGGCTGTGCCAGGGTACTTGTCCCTGCACCAGACGGCTGACATCATGACCTTGAAGTGGACGCCCAACCAGCTGATGAATGGATCTGTGGGGGACCTGGACTATGAGAAGAGGTAGGGTACTGTGTCCCTTGTGTGTCCCCTAGGTTCCTCCACCCCCCTTGGCACAGGGAAGTTATCCTCCTGACAGGGGGAGGCTTGTGCCCTGCCCCTACCCACTACTCTGCTGGTTGTTAGGGCCAGTTGGCGCAGCCTCCTTGCAACTGTGGCCTCATGGGTAACCCAGAGACTCAGAAGGATCTGAAACTAACTGAAAGAATCTTCAGGTATAGGGGTTAGGCAATACCCTGGTCAAAACACCACCCAGAGAGAGAGAGGTCTTTACAAAGGTCTTGTAAGCCCACAAATGGCAGAATATTCCCCAGTTTCCTGTCACCCTTTCCCATTACCCAGTAGAAAAGGAGACAGGAGATGTTAGTGGGTATCTGCTCCAGGGCTGTGCTTCCTATGGTATCCGCAATTTATAAGACCTAACAAAGGCTTTGGAGTCATGCTCGAAAAAGTCCTGGGACAGGGGATTTCCTGCTGCAATGCCTGTGTTCTAGCAAAATTAGGGAAGGCTTTAAAGAATAAAGGGATGCCTCAGTCACAGGTGTGGCCAGCCCAACCATTGCACCTTGAGGAGTCTCAGCTGTTGGTAGGGAAGAGAAGCAATGGTTTTGGCTGCTCCAAGCCCACGTCCAATCTTACTTTTCTTTTATATTTTCTTGCTTTCTTAAAAAACTTTTTATGATGCAGAATTTTTAACCTAAAAATGAACAGAACTCTGATACCAATCACCCAGCCCTAATGGTAATCCACATATCCTCTCCCCCCTACATATTATTCTGAAGCAACATGCAGACATCATATGTTTTCATCTGTAAATATTTTAATACGCACCTCTAAAAAAGTAAGGACTTTATTTTTAAGAAATATAACCAGAACATTATTGTTGTGTTCTGTTTAATGTCAAGCCTCAGTGTAATTAACAGCAGACCTTGGAGGGATTAATAAAATTCACTAAGCTGGTCACTTCCTGTTCAGAGGTCACCATCTGTCCTCAGAGATGGTCAGTGGGAGGTACAGTTAGTCCCAGGCTGCGCCTGATTATTCAGCTACAGCCAGATTTTGGAATTTTTTATCAGGAGATCCTCCCTGAGACACAGTGAGGGGCTGAGGAGATGCTCTTGGCCTGGGAGAGCTGGTAGGATGACCACTCTATAAGCCAGTTTGACAGTTTCTTATAACAAACCTTTATCACATGACCTAGCAATTCCACTCCTAGGGATCTACCCAAGAGAAATGAAAATTGATGTCCACACTGAAATTTATACACAAATGTTCATAATGGCATTATTCATAAAAGCTCCAAACTGCAAACAAACCAAATGTCCATCGACTGAAGAATGGATAGACAAAATGTGGTCTATCCATGCCACAGAATATTATTTGCCCATAAAAAGGCATGGAGTGCCGACACACGCTGCAACATGGATGAACCTTGAAAACATTATGCTAAGTGAAAGAAGCCAGCCGCAGAAGGCCACATATAGTAGAATTCCGTTTAGGTGAAATATCCAGAAAAGGCAAATCTATAGAGTCAGAAAGCAGATTAGTGTTTGTCTAGAGCCAGAGGAGGAAATAAAGGACAGACTGCAAACATGCAAGAGGGATCTCTTGGGAGTGACAGAAATGTTCTACAACTGGATTGTGGTCATGGTTGCCCACATGTATACATTTATTCATCAAACTCATCAAACTGTACACTTACAGTGAGTGAATTTTATGGTATGTAAATTATACCTTAATAGAGCTGTTAAAACATGTAAAACAAAAACAGAAACTTAGCCCTTTCTTCTTCTCATCTGAATGACCTTGGGCAATCAGCTTTATCTCCCTGAGCCTCAGTTTATTCATCTGTGAAACGGAGATGTAGTAGTGGAACCTCTGAGTAGGCATGCAGGGAGGATTCAGTGAAAAAAATGCATGTAAAGCCTGGAGCAGGAAACCTGGCACTGGAGAGGGCCCTCAGTCATGGGGGTTGTTGGCATTACTTCCATGGATCCAAAGGCACTGTGGCCACAGAGCTCTTCCATGCTGGCAGCTGGGGGTGGTTGGAGAGTTGCTTTGTTTACTGGGCATCCCCAGGGCTCAGCAATCACTATTCACTCTGAACACTCTCTGAGCATCATGCAGAAGTAAGTGAAACTGAGCCCCTCTCCGGGTGTTCAGCACCCTTTGGAGAGTCAGAGGAAAAAACGGACAACTGCAACCCTGTGTGGCAGGCACACGGGGCTGCAGGAGCCCAGGGAGGGGCACACTGGCTAGACTGGGCACGTGAGGGGCTCAGCAGAGGCTGCCACTCTTGTGCACTTGACGGTCCTCGGTCTTGTTCACTTCCACGAAACTGGTGAGGCTGATTCTGGTAAAGACCAGGGCAGGAAGGAGTTTCAAACTTCTCACTTCACATCCAGGGAAACTGAGGCCCAGAAGGAAGTAGGAACTGGTTCAAGGTAGGTGGCCAAAGTGGGATTTGAATACTGTCTGACATTGAAGCCTGTGTTAGTTTGGGTCCTCTACGAAGCAGGCGCCAAGACAGGATTGGACGAGCAGGAGAGTTATTGGGGAAGCACATTTCAGGGTAAGGGAGGGGAAGGAGTAGAAAGAGAGGCTCAGACCACCACGATGTGAAAGGCAAGAGAAAGGAAGGAAGATCGGGCAAGAAGAGTCTCGGACATAGCACAGCTCTGAGAACATTTGGCCAGACCAATGGGAAGTCCCCAATTGACTGTTCACTGTTACAAGAGTCCCTGTCCCATAGGAATGGGCTCATGCCAACACCCCCGCATGCTCAGTCCTGGCTGGGAGCAGCCCGAAAGAATCATGGCTTTGGTGCAAACATTGTGGTAGATCCTAGATCCAGAGTGGTGGCTTCTGAAGTTGTCTGTCAACTCTGCTCCCCATGACAAGGTCTCCCGAAGGAGATCTGAGTGGCACATTCCCGTGGTTGCCACAAAGCCAAGTTCCTGTGGCCTCCACCTCCCATTGTGTTCTGATCGGAAAAGCAATTTGTTTCAGGACAGCATTAGGTTTTGAGCTGGAAATGGAAACAATTAAGTTAATAATCACTGGGACCATTTCCCAAGTACTTTTTTTCATGTATCAGCTCTCTGTTGAAGCCTTCAAATATGTGATTCTGTTTAATTTTCACAGCAACACTCGTGGTAGTTATAGTCCCAATTTTATAGATGAGGAAAGTGAAGCTCAGAGAAGCCCTCAGCTGGCGCTGCTGGGATCTGTGAAGTCAAGGCTGCAGGGTGGCGATTCTAGCTCCTGCCTATGGTGGCCTGGAGTTAGGGAATGAGTTAGTCAAGACAAGGTCAGTGACCTAAGCACTTGCTCACATGAACAGGATCACCTCAGCTATATAGACTGGGGATAGGGGAGGGTGGTTCCCTTGGAAAGTTGGGGTGCTGGGACCAGAAGAAGGTGAGATAGTCTGGGCAGGGTGGGACACAGATGTTGGGGACAGGTGGGTCCTGGCGAGAAGGGTGAAGGAGCCCGTGGTGTGGTCTCCTGGCCTCCTGAGCCCCTTCCCACAATGAGGTAGGTAGGCATCCTGCAAGCCTAACACTTCCTCCCCTTCTAGTGTCTACTGGGACTATGCCATGACCATCCGCTTGGAGGAGATCGTCTACCTGCACTGCCACCAGCAAGGTAGAGACTGTGGGGACAGCAGGGGGCTGGGTGTTCCTCTTGGATCCCTGTGTGCCTCTACTCCTGCCCATTTGTTAGCATCATGAGGCAATGTATGACCATCTCATATTACATGCAACCTCAGGCAAGCGACTTCACCTGTCTGAGCCTTGGTTTCCTCATCTGTAAAATGGGTGTCACAACAGCACCTTCTCATGAGGTTGTTGTGAAGATCAAGTGATGTATGTTAAGGGCTCAGCATCAAACCCATGGTGTTAGTTGCTGACACCTATTGAGCATTTATAATGTGCCAAGCACAGTGCTGAGTATTCACATGCATGTTATTTAATCGTCCCAACAACCCAGTGGTAGGGGTGACACCATTCCCATTTTAGAGGTGAGGAAGCAGCATGGCACAAAGTCAGACAGCTTGTAAGCTCCTGAGGCTGGACTTGACCCAGGTCTTTGTGACTCCGAAGTCAGGGCCCTGAACATCTGGGATCAGTAACAGCAGTACTCCTTTAAAGCTGGAAGGTACAGTCAGAACAAGCAGAGGGACATCCTGCTTTAGAAAACAAGTGGTCTGTGCCTTGCCAAGGCACAAAACACAGTGGCTTAATCCTTTTTAATGAGACAGACATGGGTGCATATCCAGGCTCTGCCACTCATCAGCTGTGTGGCCTTGGGGAAGTTACTTAACCTCTCTGGGCACCAGTTTCATTATTTGTAAAATAGGCAATAATAGATATGACTCATAGGGATATTGTGAGTATTACAATAAGACAGTGCCTTTAGTGTGCTAGTATACAGTAGGTGCTAGCTAGAATCAACTACTGCCCTGAAAAAGAGCATGTCTGAAAGCCTCCATACAGAAATAGGTCAGGTAGATTTGTAAAGGATTCTTGAGGAGTGTAGGGTGTTTGTGGGCATCTTTTTTCTGTGCTAGGTAACTTTAGGAGCCAACTACACTCTTTTTTACCTTGTCCCATAGTTCCTTAATCAGAGATGGATGGTAGCTGGGATGAGAGGTACTCGGGGGACGTAAAAACTGCCCCTGGCCTTTTGCCCAGCTTCTCCCAGAACTTCAGAGCAAGACCCCTAGATCTGGCTTGGCACCCGAGGGGATGTGCTTGCAGGGAGGGTCCCGTCACCATGCCTCAAAGTGACTTCCTGCTGGGTCTTCTCTGGCTGATCGTGGTGGCAGTGGACAGCGGCGGGACAGTGGTGTTGGTCAGCCAGGATGGGATCCAGAGGCCACCCTTCCGCTTCCCCAAGGGTGGGCACCTCCTGCAATTCCTCTCATGCCTGGAAAATGGGCTACTCCCTCATGGGCAGCTGGACCCGCCACTGTGGTCCCAGCGGGGGAAGGTGAGTGATCATGGGAGCCCAGGGAGGCTGGGGTGGGGGCCAGTCATGGTGACTGGTCACTCTTGCCTGTGTCCCCTTATGTGGCTTTGTGGACTCATTCACTCCCCACCAAGCCCCTCAGGTGTACAGGTTGTGGGGACAGGTATGTCCTAGGGACCTTGCATTGGGACATGTTCTTTCAGGGCAAAGTGTTTCCCAAACTGCGCAAACGAAGCCCTCAGGGTTCTTCCGAGTCCACATCTTCAGACAAGGAAGAGGACGAGGCCACAGACTACGTGTTCAGGATCATCTACCCCGGCATGCAGTCTGAATTTGGTAAGCCGCCCTGTCCCTGGGCCCCAGGGATCCATGTGCTAACTGATCCTAAAATCGACTCCAGGTGTTTGGCACTGAAAGATGTGAAGTCTGGATTTTGGGGCCAGCAGGGGACCTGGAATCAGGATGTCAGTATTTTGGCAGCCTTGATTTCCCCCCAAATGAGAACAAATAATCACTCTACTTAGCTAAAAAAGATTCCAGTCAGTGGGAGGTAGCATGGAGTAATGGCAATGGCATGGGCTCTGGAATTCTGGAGGAACTTGGGTAAGTCACTTCACCTTCTGTGCCTCAGTTTTCTCATCTGCAAAATGGGGATGTCTGTTGCACCTATTTTATAGGGTTGTTGTGAGGATTAAATGAGATAAGGCATTTGGCATGCAGAGAACATTCAAATGTTAGCTGCTATTACATAGTTGTTGTTGTTGATATTTTACTTCAATCTGTTATTGTAAGGATTCAAAGAGATAATGAGATGATCAATGTAAAGCCCATGGAATAAGGCCTTGCACACAGTAGGCCGTCAATAAGTGGTAATAAGAGGGGAAGTAATGCCCTACGCGCTAGCACGAGATGATGATATACGTCAGTCTGCCTGGTGACTGCCATGGAATAGATGCTTAGCTAATGGAAACTGTTACTATTAAGATTATCATTATCATGGGGCTATGGTGAGGATTCAATAAATTAATATTTGAGGAGTACTCGGAAGGGGCCTGGCACTTATTAAGTGTTGTATGGATGTCTGTTAAACAAATCTATACTGAGTTACGGGTTCTTTCTGCTCACCTCATTTTATTTAACCCTCAGCGGCCCTGTTGTTCCCATTCAATGGATAATGGATCTGAACCTCCTTTTGCTTAAGTGACCACATGCTCGGCAGTGAGGGACTCACTGAGAGGAGATGTCCTCCTCAGCAAGTTTGGACTAATTGTGCCAGGCCATTTAATGCCCTGTGTCTCATCCCCCACTGATTCGGATCTGGGTGGGGGCAGGCTTGGCAGTAAGATCTTATGTGGCTCAGGTTAGCCTATGTTTTCACCTATCATAGTCCTTTATGACCAGTTAGTAGGAAAGCCTCATGTTTCTGTGTCACTTAGGTACTACAGAGTGTCCTGAAGTTTTCATTACCACATTTGTCCAGTATCAGGGTTTGAAGCCCCCCCAACCTCTTTGTGGTACAGGGCTCACACAGCCCCTGCCCAACACCAAGGCTGTTCCAGCTCCAACGCTGAAAAGGCTCCATCCTTTAGGGTGAAATCCCCTAGGATGCTGGGCCAGCTTCTGTTCTGTTTCCCAAGAACCTGGACTTCCCACTCTTGTGAAAACTGACATTAATTAAGACACCCCACTAGAGAGCTGTTTAATTAGAGAGGGCCAGATCTCTTACTGCCTTCCCAGGAAACTCTTTCCACAGTTTCTCATCCAGCAAATTAGTTCGTACATTCCTGCTGGGAGCCAGGCTGGGTCCTGTATGTTTTATTTATTTGGGGACTATCCATATTATCCTCTTGTGGGTTGACGTGAGCCAGCAGAACAGACAACAGCTGCGCCCACCCACGCCCTCCGGTATTTCCCATTCTGTACATGTCATTCGACTGCCAGCTCCCTGCCTCAGTGTCTCTTTGCCTGGGGGAAGTGGGGCGGGGGGACATGTTCTGTCTACCAGGGTCCCTTCTGCACATGGGTAGGGCATCAGGGAATCATGCCTCCGTGGAGCAACCCTCAGCCCCTGACTGACAGCAGTTGGCATATAAATACGCCAGCTCCCTCACCCCCCTGAAATGTATGCTCTGTGTCTCCCACAGATGCCCTAGGAGATGAAGCATGGTTGCCTCTAGTAGCAACTTGCTTAGTAACTAACCCTTTACTCTCTGCCTTTCCGTCCCTGTCTCACTTCACCTCTCCCATACCGGTGCTTCTTGGGAACACCTCCCAAATAAACTACTTTACTTGCATCCTTGTCTGCCTTTGAGGGAACCCCAACAAAGTCCGTTTATTTAGAACAGGGCTTCTCAACCTTAGCACTACTGACATTTCATTGTAAGGAGCTGTCCTGTGCACTGTAGGGTGCTGAGAAGCATCCCTGGTCTCCACCCACTAGAAGCCAAGTAGCGAACCCACCCCCCTCCAAGTCGTAACAACCGGAAGTGCCTGCAGAGCCAACTGTCCTCTGGGGAGCAAAATTGCCCCGGATTGAGGAAAGAATACATCATATCCCGCTCTGCCACTGCAGTATGGTCAAGTGACTCATGATTTATAAAATACCTGGGCACCTGGTGTGGGGCCCGATACCTGGCAGGTGCTCAGTGAGCCATAGCAGGTGTCATTTATTGAGTGCTGCCATGTGTCAGGCTCACTTCTGTACTGTCACCATGTCTTAATTCATTTCATCCCCACTGTAGCCCTCCCTCAGACAGGTACCATTGTTATCATCATCCCCCATTTGCTGAGGAGGAAACTGAGGCACAGATAGGTTAAGCCACTGGTTCAGGTTCACACAGCTAATTCTTGGTATTGCTGAGATCTGAACACAGGTGAGAGCACTGTGTCTTTACCACCTTCATCCTCAAAGTCAAATTCAACCTACATGGAAATGGTGACCCCATTCTTGGTTGGTTTTCTTAGGGGCCTGAGCCACTTGAGGTTAACAAAAACAATCTTCCTATGGTTTTCGTCTGTGAGAGGTCTGACATCTTCTAAGAAGTAGTTCCTAAATCAGAAGTCAACAAACCCCTTCCCGTGGGCCAAATTTGGCCCACTGTCTGTTTTTATAAATAAAGTTTTATTAGAATGCAGCCACATCCATTCACTTACATATTATCTGTGGCTGTTTTCATGCCACAACAGCAGAGATACATAGTGAAAGAGATTGTATGGCCCATAAAATAAAAAATATTTACTATCTGGCCCTTTACAGGAAGCAGTTTGCAGATGCCTGCCTTAAATAATAAGAAAAGAATTTTACCCTGTGGGAGGGAAGATGTGGCCATAGATAATTCTATGCAACCCTTCTGTCTTATCACCCCTGTCTTGGGTGATTTCCTTGGTTCTTTGCCTGCCCCATGTCCACTGAGGTGACAAAGGTAAGTTCTAAAATATTTAAACAGCTTCACAGTCAGATAGGGGCACTTTCAGATTCCTCTGTTGCTGAGATGGTCTCTGTACTGTCTAGTATGGTAGCCACAAGCTCCATGTGGCTACTGAGTGCTTGAAATGTGGCTGTGCAAATTGAGATGTGCTGTAAGTGTAAAGTACACATCAGTTTTGAAGACTTTGTATAAAATAAGTAGAATATCTCATTAATAACTTTACATGATTGATTATATGCTAAAATGATAACATTTTGGATATATTGTGTTAAACAAAATACATGGTTAGAATTAGTTTCACATGCTTCTTCTTACATTTTTTTTTTTTTTTGTGGCTACTAGAAAACTTCAAATTGCGTTATGTGGCTCCATTATACTTCTAGTGGATGGTGCTGTTCTAGTGCAAGGTTTTTCAACCTCAGCACTGTTGACCTGTTGGGATGAAAAATCCTTTGTGTAGGGGGCTGTCCTGCGCATTATAGGATGTTGAGTAGCATCCCTGGTGTCCAGTAGCATTTGGGTAATCCCCAAGTTGTGACAACCAAAAATGTCTCCAGACATCACCAAAACTTCCCAGTTGAAAACGGATGGTGTGAGGAGACTACAGCCGATGGAAAACCAGCTGAGGTTTTGCGTATGAGGGGGTATGAGTAGGATCTCAGGGTCAAATGCCCTGAGTTGGAATCTTGGCTCCACACTTATTAGCTGGGTAGTCTTGGGCATGTTGCTTAAACTCTCTGTGGCTCAGTATTTTAGCCTTTAAAAGGGGATAATGATAGCGCCTCTACTCACTAAGCAATAGATGTTGTTTGTAGAAAGAGAAGGGAGACTTCAGGCAAAAAGAACAGATATGCCATTTACTACCTGGCAGGGCTTTGTTTGGGCGATTAAGTTGTGTTGTTACTCCAAGCCTCAGTTTTTTCTTCTACAAAATGGGAAAAGAAATACATCCCTTGCAAGGTCACTAAGGACAATAAGGCAAACAAACCCCTGTCTAGCCCAGCACCCAGCACATAGCAGGCACATTATAAATACCAGCATTCTTTCTTCCTCTAATCAATCACAGCAGCAGGGCAGGAGAAGGGTTTGAGCCCCAAGGAATTGGTTCCTCCAGCCATCTCAGTGTCCTGCCCAATTGCAATCTTACACTTCACCAATCCTTTTTATTTTGTGTCTCAAGTTGCCCCCGACCTCTTAGCCAGCACTGCCCCTGTCTCCGTGGGCCCTGACTGGATGATGGTTCCTGGAGGCCAGTCCATGCTGGTGGTGGCCAGGGGGAGTCGGTGGGCACGAACCAGATGGGACACCACCCTCCCCACAGCAAGCCTGAAGGAGCAGCCCCCCAGTAATGTCTGGGCTCCCTCTTCCCCAGGGGCAGGGTGCCAGCCACCTCTGCCATGTTGTCATTTGAGTCTTGGTTCTGAGGGAGAAGGAGGCAGGAGACAAAATGACACCATTGTGCTGTCTAGCCTTCACCCTGCAGAAGACAGCTGGGAGTGTTGTGGGTTCAATAGCAAAGGGATCCACTGGGGATTTCTGCATGGGAGTGAGGAGCTGGGATGGAGGCAAAGTCGCTACACCCGGATTAAACTGCTCAGTGCTTCCCTGAGATTGTCTAAGACCTGCGGATGATTTTCTAGGACGTTTTACAGGGGCTTGCTGGTTTTTCTTGGCCAGCTCATTGATGAATGTCCAGGGAGAGGAATAGTGTAACAAGCCATGTTTAGTGGCCGCAAGAACCATATTCTGTAGGCAGCTTTCCATTCTATCCATGGGTAGCAGCTGACCCTGTCAACTACTCAGCTCTGATGACAAGTGAGTCCAGGTTCACAACACCCCCTCCACTTGGAGCCCAATGGAAGAGGCAAGTTATTATGAATTGTCCTTGCAGGGCCATGGCATATGGGGAAAATGTGCACCTCTCAATTTCCTAGAGCAGGGATTAGAAAACTATGGCCCATGAGCCAAATCCAGCCTTGTTCTGTACAACCCATGATCTAAGAATGTTTTTATATTTTTAAATGAGTGAAAAAAATCAAAAGAAGAATAATATTTTGTGATGTCAAATTGATATGAAATTCACATTTCAGTGTCCATAAAAAAGTTTAATTGGAACATACCCATGCTCATTTGCGTACATTTTGTTTATGGCTACTTTTGCACTACAGTAGAGTTGAGCAGGTATGATAGAGACCAAATGGCTCACAGCCCCTAAAATATTTACCACCTGGCCCTTTACAGAAAACGTTTACATAGTTCTGTTCTAGATAAAGGAAATGTTTGCACCAATCTAGAACTGCCAAGATACCAGAAAGTTTACTATGGAAATTGTAATGCATATGTCACCAGGATGTTTTTTTATGAAGATTTGCAGACACTGCAGTTTCACAAATCTGGGAAAGAAAAAAGTAAGGGAAAATATGAGTGCTACATCCTGGGAGTTGTTGGTCAGGAATCACTTGATCAGGGTCTCTCAAATGTGGCTGCTGTATCAACACTGTTTTAAAAATACAGAATTGACAGCTCTGTCTTCAGGAGACTTTAATTCAGTAGGCCAGGGGAGCGGGACAGGCTTATGGCTTGTTAACAAGACTTCTGCGTGATTCTGGGGTGGTCGCCAATCTGTTTGAGACTCGCTTGATGGACAGACTGTGTGTTCAGCACCATGGACAGCGCTGACACCCTCCTCCCTCAGCAGCACGGATTCCACTGGGTCTGGGGACTTGAGGCCATAAGCCTCCCCCAGAAGCACCCATCAGGCTCCCCGTCCTTCCTGCAGCATCCTGTGAGCACAACTAGATGACAACATGGCGAGGCTTGGCCTCCTGCTCTGGGATTGGGCCTGTTTTCTTGGTTCTGGTCTCTACCTCTGTTATCTTCCTTTCTCTTCTGTTGTCATCAGCTCTGCTCATCTGCTTGGGCCCCCAAATGTTGGTGGTGGCTTTCGCTGGATTGGATGGGTCCAAGGACCTGGGCCAGACTATGACCAGGGTTGCTGTTTCCTACTGTCACATTCGGGGTCTTTCCTATCCCTGTGCTGGACTGAGGGTGAGCTGCTTGCTTTGGGGTGAGGTTTCTATGACCAACACAGGCTTAACCAGGGCTCTTTATTTGCTCCTTTTTTAACATACTGCAGTCCCACAGGATCTGATGGATGTCTCCGTGAGCAACCTCCCACCCCTATGGCAACCCAGTCCCCGGAAATCCTCCTGCTCATCCTGCTCACAGAGTGGCTCAGCCAATGGTGGCTCAACCAATGGCTGCAGCCATGAGAGGTATGAGGGGCTTGAACTGTAGATGGAGGGAACTGAAGGATTTACCAAAGATTTGTGGTGCCCATTTCTTGACCTGCACTGAATTCAGAGGAGCAAACAGATGCTATGGAATCAACCAAACCCAGGTTAAATATTGGCCTTGTGAAGTCCTAGCTGTTGGAACTTACATCTGTCAGGGTAAAGGAAGTTATGATGTCACAGTAACAAACAGTTCTGAAGTCACAGTGGCTTTTTACAGCAAGATTTATTTATCACGCATGCTGTGTGTCTATCATGGGTCAGTTGGGAGCACTACTTTCTCCACATTAAAGGGCCTGGCTGATGGAGCAGCCACCGTCTTTAATGTTGCTAGTCACAGTGACAGAGGGAAAGGTAGCTCTGGAAGGGCTTGAATCAACAAGTGTTACATCCAAAAGAGGCACATGCCATTTCCTCTCACAACTCATCAACCCCACCTACAAAGGGCCAGGAAGTGCAGCCCTACCATATGCCTGGAAACCAAAAGCCAGAAATACTACTTAATGACAGCCACATACATCTCAGTTTGCTCCTCTACAAAGTATATGTCTACTCTATATGACTATGGTAAGGAACAAATCAAATAATGATTTAAATAGGCCAGCATGTGGTACCTGACACACGGTAATGTTCAATAAATGACTCTTCTTGTTTTATTGTATGAAGTTAAATCTCAAGTTCATCTCTCTCCTTGCCCATAGAGTTGTTGTCTCTTTGGAACTACTAAGCTAGTTTGTGAGACTGTTCTTGTTTCCCACTGGCCCAGCCTGGCCTGGGAGAATGGAATCCTTTTGTAAGATTTAAGGGGTGGGGGCCTGCATCAAATTTTTAGTCACCTACCCCCAGGCTTCTCAATTGTTGTCTAAATCAGCATCATTACCTGGGCAGATTCTCAGTCCCTCATCCCAAACCTACTGAATCAGAATCTGTATTTAACACAATCCTAAGATCATGTGTATACTTTTAATTTTGAGATGCACTGATATAACTGGAGATACTCAAACTTTAATGTGCATAAGTATCACCTGGGGGAGGTAGCAAAACACCGGTTCCTGGATTACTTCCTAGAGGTCCTGACTAAGTAGGTCTGTGCAGGGCCCAGGAATCCACATGTTGGAGAAACCCCAAATGACTCTTGGTCTGGTGGTCCATGGACCACTGAGAAATGCTGCTCTAACCCAGTGCCTCCTCTTATAGCATCTGCTTACACACTTGTAGTGATGGGAAGCTCACTATCTTGCAGAAAGCCAAGCCCACTATAGGACAGCTGTCAGTGTGTGGCTGTTCTTATGTAACCCGAGCAAGTCTCAGCCTCACCAACCTGAGAGCACAAAGGGCAACACGTTAATGTTTAATGTCTTCATGTGCATAGCTGGAGGATTTTAGCTGCACTCTGTCCCCAGTCTGCCTGACTTTTTCTGAGATATCCTGAGAATAAATATGCAGATATTCTTCTATCCTGTCCTCTGCAAGAATTCACAGCACTGCTTTTCAGCAGTTTTTGTTTTCTCAAAAAATGCGGAGCCTTACCCCCTCTCCTTTTTAAGCCAAAAAAGCCCCCAAATTTTCCATGCAAGGAGGCATCACCTACTTTGCAATCAGCCAGACTCTGGATCCCAGTTTGGCTCAATTTGGTCCAGCTGCTTCACTTTAGAAGTCAGAACTCTTACTGCAAGTGACAGAAACTCACTTCAGACTGGTTCAACTAAAAAAGAAAAATTGTTGGTATAACTGAGTTCAGAGACACAATGGCTTCAGGCATGGCTGGATCCAGATGCTCATAACAGGAATCTCACTCTGTTTTTCCAGCTCTTTGCTCTACTTAACTCTACAATGGTTTCATTCTCAGGCAGGCCCTTCCTATGCAGTGACAAAAGTGACTGCTGGCAGCCACTGCCATATATCCCACTGGCTAAGGAACTCAAGCAGAAAAAAAGAATGTGTTTCCTAGTAGTTCTAACAAAAGTCCCAGGGCTCATTCTCATTGGCCCATGTTGTGTCACATCTCTGACTCAGTCACTATGACTCCAGCCTGGGTCATGTATTGTGTAGAGTCATTCCCATCCAAATCACAGGAACATGAAGTTATGGAAGGGATGACTCCTCAAAGGGGAATTGGGGCACTGATAACAAAAGGGGCAATGATGCTGTGTGGGTAGAAGTCATAGCAGCCCTCTCTACAGTCCCCTGACTGGCTGATGTTAATCTGCCCTCTAGAAATAACAAGTTGTGCTCCTCTCCAGAAAACCTGTGATGTGTGTGGATCTGTTCTAAGCATCTTCCTCTTTCTGCACCTACAGGGCTCCTCTGAAACTTCTCTGTGACAATATGAAGTACCAGATCCTTTCCAGAGCCTTCTATGGATGTGCGTATAGGTCTTCATTGACAGTATGGTCTCCAAGGAGCTTTTATTGAGTGTCTGCTGTATGCCAGCAATATCAGGGGAAGGATCCTGGCTCTGGCGTTTGAACCTCTCCTCCTCTATTTCCTAGCTGTCTGGTTTTGGTGAAATTACATTAACCTCTCTGAACCTCGATTTTCTCATCTACAGATTGGGATAAATTTTAGCCCTGGGTCCTAAGAGAGAGCAGTGAGCAATGGAGCTCCTTGGGGGCAGGGATTTGGTTTAATCAGCACTGCATCCCAGGGCCCACTTTGGACGATTTGTTTTCAGGATTGAATGAGAAGCATGTACAAAGCCCCTAGAACCTAATATTGCATGTAGTTGCTCAATAAATGTCCATTCAGATCTCCTGTGTGCAAAATTAGAAGAGTAAGGTGGCCTGATTCGTTCCCCAAAATTTAAAAATTAAATTCCTAATACAGATATTCTGATCCCTATTTAACAGATGAGAACTAAGGCACAGAGAGGCGAATTGACTTGTCCAACATCATACAGCTGACAAGTAGCTGAGCTGGGACTCAAACCCTGGTCTGCCTGATTCCGAAGGCTTTGTTTTTTCCTCTTTAATACGTTCACTCTTAGCAGGTTTTATTTCCCCAACCTCATAGTAGAGAGGGAGAGATAAAACATGTATATTTAGGGATTCTAAAAAGTCTTAATACAACCTACATGGGCTTGTGAAATAGCAGTGCAGGTTATATCCCTGAGTGCCTGGAGAGGCAGGGAAAGCTTGAGCTCCACTAGGTTGAGGTTTCGCCTATTCTATTGCCACCTATCCTCAGTGGCTAATACAGAGCCTGGAATGAAGCAGGCACTGGGCAAGTATTTATTGGACCCAAATGGAAGATCCTCCTGGAGGAAGGGATGGGGGTCAAGATAGGTCTGGAATGATGTCGTCAGATGATATGGCTCATCCCCGATGGAGATTGAGAGCCCAGATTCTAAAGCCAGGTGACCTTGGTTCAAATCCCAACTCCACACTTTCCAGCAATGTGACTTGGGTAAGTGACATAACAAGTCTGTGCTTTGATTTCCTCATCTATAAGATGGAGATAATAATAGAAACTGCTTCATAGGGTAGTGGTGAGAATTAAATGAGTTATGTGAACTCTGGGAACAGCTTCCTGGCATGTAGTATGTGCCATGTAAATGTTAGCTATTATACTGTCATCATCATCATCTTTATTACAGTTAGCCCCGTTGTCGGTAGAGGTGAGTCCTTGAGCTTCAGAAGGTCCAGGGTTATCTCTGGGAACTGAGGATGGGATGGCGGAAGAAAGCCCGAAGGAAGGGGCATGGTTAGAGCAAACAGCACTGGCTGGCAAATGCTGAGTGCTTCCTACATGCCAGGCACTGTGCTGAACACCCTCCAGGTGCCCGGGATGGAGCAGAAAAGGGATAGCACAATGGTGGGCATTCATTTAAGGGTGCAGGGCCATCTTTGAAAGCAAACTGGGTGCCCTCAGCATCTCCCCAGTTACTGTCTTGCTGGGACTGCCTTTATCCAGCTGCAACTTGAATGGGAGTCTTTCACATTCATTTTCTCTCTCTCTGGCTTGGAAGTATCCAGAGGCAGAGAAGCCCAAGGAGTCACAGATCCCCTTTCTTCCTGCTCCTCCTCTGCTTTCAGTCTGTGAATTAATAAATACTTTGGCTTCTAGCAGAGCAGGGTGTTGTCACCCTGTCTGAGGCTGGGAAAGGTGATAGACTTCCCCAGGGTCACAGAGCTTTTAAGTGGTCAAGCCAGTAAGTGACATCAGCCCTCTGAGTCTCACCTTCCTTGTCTGGAAAAAGGGGCTGATGGGAATTAGCTGGTTGTGGGGATTCAATAAGATGGGGAGTGGGACAGCACTTTGGAGACTCCCTGAGACAAGGTGAGGGGTATTGGATGGTGGATGATGACATTTTCCTCCTTCCCCCGACAGGGCTTGCCTACTGCAGACACCTTTCCACCGTGAGGACCCACCTGTCAGCCCTGGTCAATCACATCATTGTGTCTCCGGATGTGCCCTGCAATGCTGGACAGGGGCTGACGGCTGGGATCTGGGAGCAGTACCTTCAAGACAGCACAGTAAGGCTTGGCCAGGTTTAATCTGCAGTGGGGCCGAGGCTGCCAGAGAGGCAGTCTTGTCATTGAGAAATAAACCCACCTGCTTGTGGGAACTTAGGTTGATGTGCTGGGGATCTGTGTATGCAAATTGAAGGTCACCTCCTCTTCTTGAGAGTTCTAAGACCCACAGCTCACTTCTGCCCTTTAGGCAGAAGATTGAGGGGCCTGGAAGGGGTAAAGAATGAATCAGTCAGTAAGCATTTATTATTAAGCATCAGCTGTATGCTCGGTCCTGCAGGAGGTGCTGTGACATAGCCCCACCCAGAAGGAATTTACAGTCCAGTTGAAATTACCTAGAATGTTGGGAGCAGCTAAGTTAGAGGGAGGCAGATGAACCAAGAAAACCTTTTCCACCACTGTTCGAAACTCTTTCTCTCATCTCAGTCTTGGGGCCTGAGGTTAGATAGTTCCCCTGGAGATAGTTAGTCCTTGAATGCTAAGATTTTCTTATTAGAATACAAATGTCCCTGGAAGGAAAATGTTTATGTTTGAAAGAGTTTCATAGACAAATAGTTTGGGAAACTTTAAACAGTTTTCTATATTCTGCAGGACTTCTGAGAACTTGGCTATGATGATATCCTGGTCACTCTTAAGAAATTGGGGGCATGTTTCAGAGCTGATGGAGCATTACTTCAAATGTGTGGCCACAGAAACCTTTGTTGGAAAAGTACCTCCCATGGCTAATAGATGGCAGAACCCACTTTTTAAATTATTATTATGAATATTCATGAGATACAAAGCTAATTGTCACCCCTCGTACCCATGATGTGAGTGCCAGATTCCTACTGGCAGCACACCCATTACCAGAAATTACTTTTGTACCCCATGCCCCCAACCAATTATCGCCCAACCTCCCTCCCTCTCCCCTTTCACCCCACGTTGTAGCCCTAGGAATGTAGTCAAGGGTTCAGATCCCCATACCCACCAGCCGCCAAAAGAACTCAATTATCCCCCAACCTCCCTCCCCCTCCCCTTTCACCCCACTTTGTAGCCCTAGGAATGTAGTCAAGGGTTCAGATCCCCATACCCACCAGCCGCCAAAAGAACAGAACCTGCTTTAAGAAGCACTAGTTTATCTCTGCCGGGAATAGGATTTAGAAGGAGACACCTTTTTCCTCCACGCTGGGTGAATCTAGAGGCCCGATCTGCTGTGCACCTTCCACCCAGGTGCTGGGGAGGGCCGAGCTGGTGAGCACCTGGTCTGAGCTGGCTTCCACACCTTGAGGGAAGAAGCTAGTCTGTGCATTACTGTGAGAATGCCATGGGACTCAGTGGAAAAAACAAATTGGTTCCCAAACCTGGACAAACAGAAGGGTTGTTTTTCTTTTTGCCAAAAATTGTTGTTTAATAACAAGATGAATGCCTACTTAATGTAAAAGTTCAAAAAATGAAGAATGCCGTTATATAAAATTTAAAAAATTTTAAATGTCATTCCTCTGCTTCTCTCCTCTAGTTCTGATCCCCTGAATTAGTGACTATTATCAGTGTAGACTCTTCCACATATTTCCTATGCTTATCCATATAAATATATATATATATATCTTTATAGTTTATCTATACTTATCTATATCTATAGTAGATATAATATAAAGACATACATTACATACTTATCTGTATTCATCTATAGGAAATATATATATATATCTTTATAGTTTATCTATACTTATCTATATCTATATATCTATAGTAGATATAATATAAAGACATACATTACATACTTATCTGTATTCATCTATAGATGCAAATCTACATAGGTATAGATATACAGACATACAGATTTATATCTATCTATAGATACGTAGATATTATACATTTCTATATTATATCTACATAGATTTATATCTATGGAAATATATCTTTATATCTTATGTTTTATCTTTATCTCATTTATGTATATATCTCCATTTATATATAGATTTATATATAGATATAATATGTAGGAATATGTAATATCTATATATAATATATAGGTAGATATAAATCTATATCTTTATAATATCCATATCTACCTTATCTATATTTTTTATTTTTTAAACAAGTCATTATATTTGTACTTTAAGTGGCCAACTTATTTTTATATCAAGGACATTTTTCAAATTCCTAGGTAAAATATTAAACGTTAGCACCTTAGAACCTCATATATGGATGGCCCATAATTTATTCAAATCATCTCCTAATAACAGACACCTGGGTTCTTCCTTTCTCTCGGGTTTTTTTTTTTTTTTCATGATTTCAAACAATGTTGCAGTCAACATCTTTATAAGTACATACCTTTTGGTACTTGTGCTTTTATTTCGAGAGTAGATTCCTAGAAGTAAAATTGATTGATGTGCACTTAAAATTTAGATAGATATGCCAGCTTACTTTCTCAAAAGGACATGGTGCTCCTAATCCCCAGCAGTCTCTAAGTGTGCCTATTTCCTGAGGAATTTAAAAGATTTATAGATTTCCGGGCTTGGCTCCAGCTTCACTGATTTAGCATCTCTGAGGGAAGAGCCGAAGAATCTTTATCTTTTTAAAGTTCCCAAGTGCTTCTGGTGATCCTCCTAATTTAGGAGGCACCAATCTGAGGACAACTTGGTTGAAACAATAAGTTAGTAAAAAATGTGTATTCTTCATCTAACACCTATCGCAACCGCTTGGCTATGTCAGTTGTATTGCGATATTAGAGTAGATTGAGCCTCAGTCACTAACAGTCCCCACTCTTTCAGATGCCTGACGCCGTAGGGGTTTATTTCTCACTCACTTAGTGCCGGGTGGGTGTTCCTGGTGAGGGGGCATGTCCTCTCTCTCTAGAGGTTCAAGGTCCTCCGGTCTTGTGGTCCCACCATCTTCCATGCCTCATAGTCACTGCCTCCTGCCAGTAGATGGGAAAACAGGGAGTGTGGAGGAAGCTCACCTGCTTCTTCCCGGACCTGGCCTGAAAATCTCTTACATCACTTCCTCTCACATCCCATTGGCCAGAATTCATCACATGGCCACACCCAACTGCCAAGGAGGCCGGGAAATGGAATCTATTGGTGGTTCCTGGAGAAGAGGGTGTGGGTTTTTGATGATGAGTTTGCAGCATTGGCCACAAATAGTTACCTGATTTTTAAGCAGCTTTGATACAGCCATCTATATAGTACAAATCAAAATTCCCGACAGGGACAGAAGTAGCTGGTTTTGCCATTGTGGCTGGGTACGTCTAAAACTAGTGTTAAAATGTGAAATAGGCTTTTAATATTGGAATGTGATGCAAAGAGGACAGAGGACAAAGCCCGGTGCCCCTCAGAGCAGCCTTCCAGCAGCCACTGGTACTTTCCAGTCCACACGTACAGTTAGGGCATGCTGGTCCCTCAGCTTGACTAATTGTAACTGCAAAGCCTTTGCCTAAAAATGATTTATTTTTAAAAAGCATACAAAATCAGCTCCACGGGCCGGCCCGGTGGCGCACTGCTACAGTGTGCCGCTTGGGAGTGCGGCGGCGCTCCCGCTGAGGGTTCGGATCCCATGTACAGACCAGCCGCTCACTGGCTGAGCGAGGTGTGGGAGCAACACCGTGGGTTGCGATCCCGTTGCAGGTCCCGGTCCGGTACGGGCGCGACACTGAGGGTTGCGATCCGTTGCTGGTCACGAAAAATGACAAAAAGGAAAAAAAAAAAATCAGCTCCACAAAACAGCAAACAGTCGTTAAAATCATCCTAATGTGCAGAAAGGGTCTTAGTGTATGAAGTAGCAGCTGGAAATGTTTATTTTGGATTAATTTGCTTTAGATCAGTGTTCTTAGATCTGAGTCAAGGTTACTAACTCCAAAATAATATTTCCAAACAAGCACAATACAAAAAATTGACTGAAAATTAAATAGAAATGTTAATTCATTATATACTGGCCTCCGTTTTTTTCTTTTTACAAAAATGGGTTCACACTAGACATGTTCTGCATCTTGTTTATTTTATTCAACAGCATACATTGAACATCTTTTCATGTAGATCCTCATAGATGTATCCCCTGCAGTTTGAAATGCCTGTGTGGTATAGCCATGTAGGGACGAATGTTCCTCCATTGGTAGGCATTTGGGGGGTTTCCAGAGTTTGGCTCTTTCCTATGATGCTGCGATGAATGCCTGGGAACATAAGGCTTTGCTTATTCATGCCAGGATCTCTGAGGGCTGGATCCAAGAAGCAGGACTGCTGGGCCACAGAGCCCATCCCCTGGTTTTCTGTTGACTAGAGCCTTTGCTTCCCCCTCCCACCACAGAGTTACGAGGAGAAGGAGCTGCTGCGCCTCATCTACTATGGGGGCATCCAGCCGGACATCCGCAGGGCCGTGTGGCCCTTCCTCCTAGGCCACTACCAGTTCGGGATGACGGAAATAGAAAGGAAGGAGGTTGGTTACCTGCTATGGGCAAGGGGGTCTTTGGCAATGAAAGGAAACAAATACTGTGGAGTTGGGGGAGCTTTGTTTCCATGTTGGATCAAGGTGGGGCAAAGAGGTATGGGGGAGGCAGGAACCTCAAAGACAGCACTGTCCAGTAGAATTACAACATGAGCCACGTATGTAATTTTTAAAATAAACTTATTTGAGATCATTATAGATTCACATGTAGTTGTAAGAAATAATGCAGAGGTCTTGTGTATCTTTGACCCTATTTCCCCCAGTGGTAACCTCTTGCAAAGCCAGAGCACAGTATCACAACTAGGGTGTTGACATTGATGCAACATACCAATCTTATTCAGACTTCTCCAGTTTTACTTGTACTCATATGCGTGTGCATGTGTGTGTGTGTGTACTAAGTCCTCTGCAGTTTTCTCACACGTGTAGATTTGTGTGTCCACCACCACAGTCTACATACAGAACATTTCCAATGCTATAAGGACCCTCAGGTTGTCCTTCCTGAGTCACATCCACCTCTCTCCCATCCCCATCCCCATTCCTAACTCCTGGAAACCACTGATCTGTTCTTCATTTCTATAACTTTGTCATTTTAATAATGTTGTAGAAATGGAATCATACAGTATGTGACTTTTTAAGATTGACTTTTTTCACTAGTATAAATCTCTGGAGATTCACCCAAGTTGTTGTATGAATCAATAGTTTATTCCTTTTAATGGCTGAGTAGTATTCCATGGTATGGGTGTACCATAGTTTAACTATTCGTCTGTTGATGGATAGCTAGGTTGTTTCCAGTTTTTTGGCTATATGAATAAAGCTGCAATGAACATTCATGTACAGATTTTTGTATTAGCATAAGTTGCCATTTCTCTGTGATAAATGAGCAAGAATTCAATTTCTGGGTCATATGGTAGTTGAATGTTTAGTTTTATCAGAAATTGCCAAATTTTTGCAGCAGTTGTACCATTTTACATTCCTACCAACATATAAGTAATCTACACCTGCATCTTCACCAGTTGGGTGTTGTCATTACTTTTTATTTCAGCCACTTTGACAGGTATGTAAATGCTATTTCATTGTGGTTTTAAGTTGCACTTTTTGGGCTGTCTGGTTAGCTCAGTTGATTAGAGTTCGGTGTTATAACACCAGGGTGAAGGATTTGGGTCCCCATACTGGCCAACCGACAAAAAGAAAAAAAAATTGCAGTTTTTGTTTGTTTGTTTGTTTGTTTGTTTGTTTTGTGACTGGTAAGGGGATTGTAACCCTTGGCTTGGTGTTGCCCTCACCGTGCTCAGCCAGTGAGCGCACCAGCCATCCCTATATAGGATCCGAACCTGCGGCCTC